AAGAGAGAAAGATCAAGCCGTTCGCGAAGAAGCCCATCACTTTCATGCTCCATGCTACATATGGAGAAAACCTGATCAACATCATGGAGCACGGGCTGAAATCTGGGAGATCCCAGTCGAACCCTTCGGGGAGAGTGCACATCCACATGGCATGCATCGACGACGTTATCCTTGATGACGAAGCGTCAGAAGCCGCATTGACACATGTGCCAACAGGAAGAGATGCTTTGTTGATCCTGGCATTCCTCAAGGACCAGGACTACGACATCCGACTCTCCGAAGAGCGAACAGCATTGACAGATCAAACCATCGAGGCGAGGAACATTGTTACAGCATTTGATTCCGAGGGAACCGTCATAATGAGTAACAGTTGGATCATGAAGAAAAATCTCGGTCGTGAAGACATTGAGATGTACAACAGCAAGATCCAAGAGTTCGCCGATGCCTTCTTCAAACATGTGAAAAATGACCACCAAAACAAGGAAAGGTCTGAAAAAGATACATCCACAGAGACCAAGAAGCGACGGCACTCCACCGATCAGGACGAGGTTGAAGAGGAGAACATGGAACCCTCCGGGGAGAGATCCGTCAAGCCAAAGGTCACCATGGAGTATCCAAATCGTGAGAACTACCTCAAAATAGAAATGAGCAAGAAGGACGCCGAGGAAGAGCTTGTGGAGACCAAAAAGGACTTCCTCCATTTCATGGAGAAGTACAACAAGGATCCCAGAACAGCTCATCCTAAATTGACAGAATGCGAAAGAGCCTCATTGGCACACGTTGATCCCGATGTCAACCTCGAAGAAGAAGAGTTCTATTTCCGCCAGGACGAGTACCGGAAGGCACAGCCAGTATCAGGATATCCGATTAAGCTTCCACTGGGATTGAAGAAGCTTAGATCACATGACAACCCAGAAGTCATTCGAGCATTTGCCGACATCCTGGGATCGCTGATGCAGCCGACCGACCGTCCCTCTGTGGACCATCTCAAGACGCATGAGTTCACCTCATCCCTGACGATCAACATGCTTACTATGAACCATGGAAACCTCACTAGGAATCCAAAGCTGGACGGCAGGGAGGTGTACAACATGGCGATGAAGGACCGACCAATCGTGAAGATGATGATGCAGAACAGCGCACACATCTTATGCCTCAATGAAGCAGACGCATTCCTCAGTCCTCAAGATGATAAATCCAGAGAACTCATCAAGACGTTCATCCGATTCGGGTACAAGGGCATCGTTATCAAGCAATGGTCATCCAGACCAATTGCATGCTTTGTCCGCGGCGGACCTTCCGCACGAGTGGAACTATTGGCAAGACACATTTCCACAAAGAGTCAGAATTGGGGAACCACATTCGGGATGTTCAGATGTTTCTTCGGAACCGAGGAAAATTGCACTGATCCTGAACACGACATTCCGACCTCGGACTGCCCGGCAACTACGGGACCATCCATGTTTACTGAATCCAAGAAGTACATCGGACCGAGATTGCCACCACGCACCACTGTCCAAGGACACGGACGCAACAAAGAGATTGTCGTTCTCCACATCGAGCAGAGTGACGAGTATCGTGGTATGCTCCCAAAATCATCCAACAAATCACTCCTCGAGTTTGACAGCCGCCACGTAGCGAGGGCAGACCTCCCGTTTGCTACCATTGGAGTTTTCCACATTCATCCATCAATCAGCCATGGAGCAGCACGGGAAGATCTTCAGAACGAAATCCTGCCACTCGTGACATTGTACCAATGCGATGCGATCACTGGAGACGCCAACAGATCCGCGAATACCTACAGCAGACTCCAGCACGTCTTCAATCCGGCCAAAGGTCTCATGAATATCCTCATGAAGGAATATCAGAGATTGTGGAATGAAAAGGAGAATCTGCCACTCGTGGACAGAATGGAGTATCTTCATGCACCCTAAAATCCATTGTCCGTCATCACTTATACATGAAGACTGGATCAGGGTATGACCGAACATTCCCAGATGTGATGATGACATTCGTGTTTGGATGGGGAATATCCAGCATGTTTTCGGAAGGAAGAGATGAACGCCATGAGAGATGAACAACTGGAAGCCATGCGGAACGATCCAACGTCTGCCATTTTCGACTATCAGGTCTCATCCGCGGAACGCTTCAAGCACGTGAACGACGATATGTTCATGAATGGCTCACAAGATTCCGACTCGCACAGTCCGCTCATGGTCTACATCCGCAGTAGATCTGCCGCCAGGCAACGCAACTTGAGAGATCCAAGGAGCACCTCAAGAAGAAGCAATCTTGGACTCAGCAAGAGTACAAGCAATGGAAAGACTATGGCGACTGGACCTGGAATGATTATGGAGACTATGGCAGTCAATCCGACAGCAGCCGCCGGTGGTACCGCTGATTACTTGATGAAGCAGCCACCTTTCGCACTTATTCGACCGACTGAGAAGACTCCCACGATCGACACTACGAACTACAACCAGATTGATCCTCACCGCCAACAAGACTATTCAGTGAGAGAGCAATATTTTCACATCCGTCCCGCATGTACATAGCGTTGTGCATCACCTTTTCGGTACATCTAGGTATCTCACAGAATCAGTACAGACTGTTTACCATTTTGCTCACAAGACAAATCATCCGCACCAAAATTGGATGAATCATTGTAACAATACATGGCTACGGCACTTTCAAATATGGCTACGGCACGTAAGGCCAAGAAGCCAATCATACACTTTGGTGTGAAAGGTCAAAAGAAATTTGTGTCTGTTTTGTGTTGCTTTTTGTTGCACATTGACCTATTCACACACTCCGCTGACATGATGGCTCAAGGCCCTTCAAGTCATTTGTACAGTCATTCGGCTCATGGTACATTGATAAAAAGGCTTGCAGACCGCTTTACAGGATTCACAGTCAACACAAGCCACCAGGGACAATCCATCCTCCAATCCTCCATATTGGCATATTGGACTCTCTCCGGAATAGATGCAGGGACCAAATCAACGACCTCTACTACCACAGAATACCAGTTCTCTTCTGGGATAGGCACCCCGGCAGTGGGTCTCACCCCCCGCCCCCCACCCGCGAATTGTCACTCCCGAATCCCTCAAAGTACCCTGCCTCCACCCACCAACCCACCAGTCCCTCATGCTCCCCACGGCGAAGCTCACAGCCCAGTAGCCGTTCACCTTAAAATGGGAGACGCAAAGCCAAAACCAAGAGAAAGGCGTGGCCAAAAGCAGTTTGAAACTGTACGCCGGCCTGCTCACGCATTTGCCTTTTCAGACCCACCTGGCCCTACCAACATGGCTCATTTGAATATGGTCGGGTTTGAGAGTCCTGGTCTCCGTTCAAGGTCGCTTAGCACCTGTGTTTAGATCCTGGCCCGAGAAAGCTGAGGGCCTGGTCACGTTGCGCCGCAAGCTCAGTAACCACTGTGAAATGTAACCGAACAAAAATCGAAATCAAACCAGCACCGCGCAAAAACAAACAACACAAAGGAACATTTTCACTACACAACAATCAATGAAAAAGGGCGGAAAGAACGCATCGAACAATGCGCTCGCAATAAACGGCACAAAGACCCCCCCAAAAAAAACAAACAACAACAACAACAACGATCACCACGAACAAGCATCAGCCAAACACACAAGCAAACCAACACAAACAGCCGACCAAGTTTCCAAAAAAACCCACCTACCCACCCACCCACCCACCCGCCCACCCGCCCACCCGCCCACCCGCCCACCCGCCACCCACCCACCCACCCCCACCCACCCACCCACCCACCCACCCACCCACCCACCCAACCAACCAACCAACCAACCAACCAACCAACCAACCAACCAACCAACCAACCAACCACAACCACCCACAACCATCCACAACCAACCAGAACCAACCATAACCAACAAACTGAGGGAGCAAGCGAGAAAACTCTGCTGGCAAATTGTCAAGGTCACGGCGGCATTGGCAGCCTTCTTCTCACAAGGCCAGCAGGCCGTGCCAATCAGAATGACGTGTTCAGTCGCAATGTGAATGAACAGCCACAAAACTCACAAAAACAAGTAAGGAAGCAAGGAAGCAAGGAAGCAAGCAACGGACCATCAAACATGACAGATCAAGGCAAAAAGACGCTGCAGACAGCAAGGCGTCACAGCAAAACTAAAATAGTTCAGGAGAGCAAGAAGAGCACACTTCAAACAAGTAACAGGAGAATGCGCATCAACAACACGACTCAACACAACACAATGATACAGAACGAAAGAAAGTCACGCAAGGCGCAAGGGACACAGCAAACCACAAAACACAACAGCGCAAACATAACAAACAAGCATTCCGCTCTGGGCCCTGTGGTCAGAGACGCATCCTTGAATTTGACCACCACCATCGGCAGGTCGACCGCCACAAGGCTTCCGTGCGCCAACTCAGCAGCGACCTCCTCCACGCGCCGGCCCTTGAGCACGCCGTGGCTGAACTTCAAGCCCACCGTCGCCTCGCCAACTTGCGGCAGGATGGCTGCGTGTTGCAAAGGGAACCAACATAATACTAATCAGAACCGTGTAAGCAAGCTGTTCCAACCAATGAGCTAACGACAGCCCAACGCAACACCAGAATCAAAGTAGCCAAACACCCCAAGTCTGAAAGACTGTCTCTGGGCGTGTGGCCAACCAGCTACAGGGCGCAGCTTTTTGAGATGCGCCTGGGTGAACCGAATGTTCGCGATGGGCATCTCGCGCCTGTCTGCTAAGCCGTGCAGCACCTCCGCGCCGTTGTTGGAGTAGCAAATCCTCAGCGGGTTTTGTTGGAGCAAGCAAAGGGTTTCTGCAAATGGAAGCACAACTTTGGGAGGGGGGGTGTGGGAGAATTCCGACTTTCACCGAAAACCAACAAAGAATAAAGGGCTCCAACAAGTCACATCAAGTTCTTTGGCTGGGGCCCTTGGAAACCAAAGCTGCAAGCTGCTTGGCTTTGGGCAAGGATCTCGTTCAGGAGCTGACTCACCAGCGGCAGGGAAGGGATTGCGAAGGCCCGGTCCCGGCCTGAACTTCAGCATCGTCTACTTGCTGTTGGCGGCGCGTAATTATCTTACTATTCTTTTTCTTCGCCGCTCAGTTTCCAAGGCTTAAAATTTCAGTGATGCAAACGTCTCTGATCTTGCTCAAATCCCAACTCGGTTTTGGCGGCCACGCCTTTGCCATCTTCTCCCTCCCCCTCGGTGGGCTCCTCGCCGCGAAGGCGCGGGAGCTGGGGCAGCGGGCTGGAAGAGTCGCCTGGAACGGTCGGATTTTGAACCCCGGGCCGCCAGATTTTTCGAGGCGGACATTCACAAGTCTCGAGGCGGCAGTTCTCCTTTTGAAAACAAGCCACACAAAGAACAACACATGTGTATGTTCTTTAAAGAACTAAATTACAAGCCATGCCCCGAGTGTAGATTGCCGCTTCAATCAAATGTTTCTCCTTGAGAGGTGCCGGCTAAGCTTCGTTTAATATGGCACGTGGCAGAGAGTGCCTGCGCGTTTGCAAGAATTCTTAGAAAGCGTTAGAAACACTCTGGACAAGCAGCTGTTTATTCATTGTAGCATTGCCAAGGTCCGCTGCTCTTTGCGCAAGTTGCGTTCTTTGTCTGGGTGGGCGCAAGTGCGTGCGGCGCATCAGGTAAACGCGCCCCTGCCAGGCGACGCAACGAGTGGATGTGGCGCGGGCAACGCTCTCGTGCGTTTGGGCAACACCAGAGCAATCTTGGATCTCGGTTCCTCGTTTGGAAGTTGCACGGCGGCTTAAAGCTGCTAAAACCGGGGCTAAGCTGTGATCTTTTGAAGCTCGGTACGCCTTGACGGGCGGGCTAACAAATCTACACGAGCAAGCTGCAAGCCGCTACCTTTAGACGACTGGTTCTTGCAACATTTCAGGGGCTGAGATCTGAGTGAGAACTCTATGTAACTATGTATCTATATATATATATATATGTACGTGTTTATCTATTATATGTATTAGTTCTAAAGCCACCTTTGGTTGGCCCACTTCCTTGCCTGGGTTCTGCTTCTGGTGCTTGGGCGGTGCCTCGGTGCTGGGCTCTGGCGGCGGTCGCTTCAGCCCATGCCCGTGAGGCTCGACTTGTGCGCTCGGCAGGGCGAGCATGGCAGGTGGGCCGTGTGCGCATTGCCTTGGCCTCTCCTTGGTGCTGGCTCTGGTGACGTGTGAGACTTGCCCTGCCAACTGACTTGGTTGAGTCATGAAAAGTAAAAGCCGATCGCCCGGGTTGTAAACGCTTGAAGAGCTAAGTCTCTACAATTCCGAGCTTCACCGCAGACGGGTTCACAGGTTCAGTTGCAGCGGCTGGCGGTGTTGCTTCGACGGGGGCAGCTGAAAGAGCCAGGCCTAAAGCTTTCACAAAGAATTCTTCCAGACTTTTAAATGACTTCCTCCATTTCCATGGCGGGAACAGATCTTGGACCTCCTCCCAGGAAGTCTGCGCAACTTCTCTCTTGACAATCTGGTTGGCCTCCAAGATCCAAATACCGGTCTCCTGGGTGTGCGCAATGGCGCTGGTCATGCAGTCCGGGTCTTCGTGCCACACCTGGCTACAAAACCCCGTTTTCTTGAGGGTTCAAGCTGGGTCAACTCTTTGAATTGTTTTTTGGGAGCGGCCATTCCAGCTGCCTTTTTTCCTTGGGGCTCCCTTGGTTCAGAGGGAGGAAACCCTTGCCATCTGGTGGAGGTTCTCTTGTGGCAGGCACAACGCTGCTTGACAATGAGTTGCAAGGGAACCCAACAAAAGAGCCCCTCTTGAGAAACAAATAACTCTCTGAGTCGCGCTAGGGTTGGGTTCATCCCTTGAGCATATTGAGGCTCCCCGACAAACAAAAGGTGGATGTCAGTCAATGTAGCACCGCCTCCGCCGCGAAGCGGTAGGCCGCTTGCAGCGTGGTCTCCGCCCGCGCGGCACGGCTAAGCAGCGAAAGCACCATAGGGCCCGACGGCTCAGTAGTCACACCCAGGCGCTCGGCCAAGGCCGCCAGGTCTGCGGATTTCCCCACCTACGGCTCCCTACCCCGAAATCCTCGTTGGAGCCTCGAATGCTGTTGGCTTTTGGAACGGACCAGGCAAGGAGCATGTGGAAGCAAGTCTCGTTCGAATGCAGGGAGAGCCAAGGCGGATGCAAGATGAGCATCTGAAGGTCACAGGGTTGATTCGTGGTGATTTGTGCTGCAAGTGAGCACCAGGGTCATGCCTCCACCAAAGCTGAAAACAGACTGCCGGCACAATGGCAGTTATTTTTGAGCTTGACAAATCGCGCATGCTGCGTTTGCCACCATTCCTGGGTTGAACGGCCACTGGTGGGATGTACCCTACATAAAGCCCACAGAGACATGAGCCACTTAATTAACCAGGGAGCCGTCATTCATGCACGCCCCGCCAGGGGGCTTGGATTGCCTTTGAAAACCAGCCTGGCCTCCACCACTTCCGGACCCAGGAAGTGCTCGAACTTGGGCCCAAAGCACTGCTCGAGTTGCCGCGTCGTGCCGGCGCGGTCTTCGATCTCGCAGCGCCGGCGCAGCGAGCCCAAGTCTCGGGCCGCATAGACGTCCAGCACCGCGTTCCTTAGGATAGGAATTGGCCACAAAAAAAGCGAGGGGAAATTAACACAGGCCAAATGGAGGCAAGAAAAACAATGCTTTAAGTCGATCTGCTTTTGCAACTGAGAGTCATATGCTGTACAATGTTTCGCACCTCGCAGGGCTGCCGTTTTGCGACCATTCTTTGGCGAGCGGCGCATTCGTTACAAGCCGGTCTCGACCTAGTTTCGAGGACAGGCGATGCGTTGACATCAAGAAGCAAAAGTCACAACATAGAGACGTTTACGTAAGTTGCCGAACCTACAGTTGTTCAAGCAAGTGAACGAACAGCTCCAGATGGAAACCAGCCATCGGCTTGGACACGGCCGCCTTGAAGATGCCTTTGGGCAGCTTCAGTGTCTCTGCTTTGGAAACCTGGGCGCCGAAGCGGAGGAAGACCAACTCCCACCAAAGCCGAGCTTTCATGCCGTCTTCGCCAGGCGGCTCCTGAGCAACGCGGACTGAACAAGTTTCTTCTCGAGTGACTGACTTGCTGCCTTCTGCTTGGAAGGAGGAAGAATCCCAAATGCCATGCAATGATCCTACTTTGACGCTTTCTTCTTTCCGCGCTTCCGGTTTGGAATGCGGATTGGTTTGACTTCACAGGCCCCTCCTTGAGCACACGGCTCCGGTCGTAGTTTGCGGTGCCAGGTTTGCAGCCCAGCAGGTAGGGGCTTTCCAGCTCCCGGGCCTCATGCAGAAGGCCCATGCAGGAAGGCACCAGCAGACTTCTCATCAAGCCTTGCCAAATGATCCCACTTGTCAAAAGATAGACTGACATGAAAGAAGGAAGATGCCCGGCCTGTAACCACACTTTCCTTTTCTTAACTTTGAAATACAAACGAATCTTCACAGAAATGAGACCCTTCAACCCAATTGGAACAAGCCAAATGAATGATGGCCCCGAACACTTGGCGACTACTTGTCCAGGTGAGCCTTCCATCTCCTCCGCGCTCCGGTTCGCAAGCCATCTGTCTGCAGATGAACTGTTCAAGATCTCCTGCCAGCGTCGTCCCAAGTATGCCAGGTTTGTCCACGAGAAGCGGTGGTCCTCACAGCGGGTGAAAGACGCTTGTGCCATCGCTTCCCCGAGCGCAATAGGGGATTTAGGATTTGTGAAAAACAGGCAGCCGTCAGGAATGCTCCACGGCTTGCACGGAACTGCAAGGCCAGGTCCTCTGTCTCTGTCAGCCCCAAGGTCTGCTTCACAATTGCATGGGCAACATCTCGGTGCGTGGCCTTGCTGCCGCAGCCCAGCAGTTTCAGCAGCTCTTTGTCGGCTGGGCACGCGGAGGCCTTGTCCAAAACCCGGAGCAAGTTCGCCGGAGCGCCCTTCGGCACTGAGGAGAAGATGTGATCTTCGCCGCAAGCTGTCCATACGATAGACTCGGCGAGTAGGAAGAGAGGGGCTTGGCGCAACGCCAGCAGATCCAAATCCTGGCACTTGGCCAATGCCTTCACCACATCCTTTCGCCAGGCGGCGCCACGGCTTTGGAAAGCCGGGGGACCATCCTTTACAACCCTTGACGTGGGCTTGCAAAAACCTTCGTTCTTGCAACCCCCTGCTAAAAATGAACAGAACCAAAAACAACCCCAAACCTAAAACCTTGCCAACAACAGTGAAGCATCGTCTTTCGAAAGGCTGAGAAGTTGGATCAGGTCGCTGGCATCGAACTCTGCCATGCCGGTGTCCGTGCCCGCCAGGTGTTGCATGTACTCCTTCACGGGAAGGCCCAAGCCAAGCAGCCCCAAGTCCGCAGCTGTGAGGCGCAAGGCGGCCAACAAGGGCGAGTCCGGTTTTCTGCAGCGATTGATTGGGAGCAGCCCTTTAGCGCCATCCGTTTGAGTGACTGGGATGAGTGGCACCTCTCGCAAGCCGGACCGCACCCGTTGCACAAAGGGTGCCCAGAAGGATGTCTGGGCTAACTCAAGGCCGGGCTGCAGCAGCCAAGCCCGGATCGACAAGCTGTCGGTGCTTTGGGTCGTGCTTTGGGCGACTGTGGTGAGCCAAAGCTCGGCTAGAGCATCTCGAAGCCGCGCATTCCTCACATTCTGAACGTAAAAAGATAAAGCCAAACCTGCTTGCAATCTTTCGACCTACGCCTGTACGATTGCATGCGAAGCACCAACCATTCTATAAAGCTATTCCTAGCGACGCATGCCAAGGACTTCTTACATCCGAGCGACACTGCTGCGCGGCACTGGCAAGAGGCATTGCTAGGACAATGAGCGGCACTTCTGCGGGGCTTGCTCAGCTATTTTGAGGAAACGCGCTACGCGAATCTGCTGAAAGACGCTTTTTGGTGACACTTCCAAAAACATGTTCAGCTCTTCTTTCAAGCAACATTTGGGAGACGCTGTTGCCCGGCACTGGAGGTCAACGTTTCAGTTGAGGCACCAATGGCTTCTCAAAAAAGGATGCTTCTGACCGCCGCTTGAAATCCCAAAGCCTAAGACACGCAAGGACACCTTTGCAGGGACTTTTGTTGTCGGTTTGCTGAGGCTCCTCTCGCTGTCCATCAAGGCCTCCCGGTTGGCAGTGAGGTCGAAGGGGGCGTTCAAAGGTGTCCGGAGGCCCGCCAGCTGGGACAGCGGCAAGGTGGTAGACACTGCGGCGCTCGCAGGGGCTGCGCCATGCAAGGGGAAGGCGATGGACAAATCGGAGGCCTCCCGCAAGGAAAATGGAAAACCTGAAGTATGAGTGGAAGTAAACTTCTCGAAGAAGGGCTTAAACCGCCTAAGATCTAGACCAGCGGTTGTCCGTGTGTTGCCTTAGCCACGAAGTACTTGTGCTCGCTCTCGCTGTGATTCACACCGCGCGTCGTGACTCCTATGGTCACGAACCCTTCTGGCGGCCCGTGGAGGGCATACGTGAGCACATCCCCAAGCCTCTCAACTGTGATGGCTCGCACCTGCCGCAGAAAAAGCAGAAGAGTAGGGTCCTCAGTGCGCGTGAACCATGCAAAGTTGGGCCCTCTTTCAAAGTCACGAAGATCCAATGGAACACTGACTTCGCCAGGTCTGAGCAAAGGGCCTGCGCGTGCAACTGAGCGCCGCGCCACTTCGTCCAGCAGGTCTGGGAAGGCTTTTCGCAGCGGGAGGTAAATTGCAGTGCCATGTTGCGGCAGAGGCTGGGGCGTCTCCACATGTGCAGGTATCACTTGGGGTGTCACCTGTCAGAAACTGGCCCCAACAAAAAAACACTAGAAGAAGGGTTGCCCGCAAACATTTTCCATCGGTCCAATATTTCCAACTATGCATTTCAGTATCTACTCTGTGCATGCCTCTATGCATTTCACTGTCTACTTTCCCTGTGCATGATTCTATGCCTATGCCCTTCACTCTGCACTTGCCCTACGCATGCCTCGATGCATTTCACTGTCTACTTTCCCTGCGTGCCTATATGCATTTCACTGTCTACTTTCCCTGCGCATGCCTCCATACATTTTAATGTCTAATGCAGTTCACTGTCTCCTTTCCTTATGCATGCCTCTATGCACTTGCCTCTGTACTTGCCCTATGCATGCCTCTATGCATTTCACTGTCTACTTGCCCTATGCATGCTTCTCTGCATTTCACTGTCTACTTTTCGACTTTGCAGCTGGAGCTGCGGGGACGAGCTTCGCGTACTACTTTTGTACTTGAAAGGTTACGACTTTGCAGCCGGAGCTGCGGGGACGTACTTTGCGCACTACCAGAGCGAGACACGCACGATCCACGCAGAGGGTCGCGCGCCTGCCGCAAGCAAACAAGATACTAGTTTTATGTTAGCGTGCAAGTTTCCTCGTGCAAGTTATGCTCGTGCGAGAAGGAAAGCAAGATCGCTACGCATTTCACTGTATACTTTCCCTTTGCATGCCTCTATGCATCAAGCTCTCTACTTTCCCTGCGCATGCCTCTATGCATTTCACTGTCTGCTTGCTTTGTGCATCCATCTATGCACTTGCCTCCGTACTTGCCCTATGCGTGCCTCTATGTATCTCACTGTCTACTTTTTCTGTGTACGCCTCTATGCATTTCAGTGCCTACTTTCCCCGTGCATGCATCTATGCGTTTCACTCTGTACTCGCCCTATGCATGCCTCTGTGCATTTCACTGTGCACTTTCCCTATACAGCCCTCTATGCATTTCACTGCCTACTTTCCCTATGCAGTTGAGCTGTGCAGAACGCAACGACTTTACCGGAAGAACCCTTCGCAATGCTTTCGGGAACAACCCGCCTGTGGCAAAGGACATGACGCCTCCTCATCGAAGAAGAAGCGGAAGGGATTGGAGAAAACGTGTGGCCGGGCAGAGAGCACGAACGACGCCTTGAATCCAATGCCCTTCTGCCCTGTCTGACCCAATTGTTTCGTAGAGGCGCCGATGTTGCAAAGAGCTCGGACATCTTCGAGCAAAAAACCCCCCTCGTTGTACTCCAGCCACAAGTACTTAGAAGCGTGGACAATTCTGACCCTGGGCACATCCTGAAAACTGCAGTCGTCTGCATTCTGCAGGAGCTCCCACAACGCCCGCACAGGCCCGGAATAGAGCTCTAGTGAAAAGAGTTGCAGGGATTTGCGGAGCATTCCCGCCATCAAGGGGTGAATGCTTTGACAAAGCTCGTTCTTCAGAGCCAGAATCTGCTCATCTGCGCTGGCATCCTGGAGCTTTGGGCTCGGATCCTTGCTGTGCGAGAAATGTCTGGAACGCAGGATCATTTTGGCATCACCCACCTGAAAAACATGACCAAGCCGCATTTTGGGGAACCCATTCTGGGGTTCTAACAATGGGTTCCTAGGATGCAACGTCGTGTGATTTTCTTGCTGCGCAAGCTGGAACACCCCCGATGAATTAGAATCCGTTTCGGGCCCCGGCATGGATCTCTCAGGTTTGACACCACCCCTTGTCAGCTTCCTGAAAATGGCCTGTTTGCAACGCGGACGTGCCATGCGAGCCAAGCCAGTAGCCTGGCAAACCGGTTCGGATGTCCCTTCAGAACTTGACCTTGGGCTCTGAGCTTCGACTGATGAAACGGAATTCAAACTTGGAAGTTCAGGGTTCGGAGAAGCAGCCAAGATAGCGCCGAGCATCTGCCGACCTTCGTCAACCACCGGTTGTTGGGTGTGGTCGGCTTCTGGCGCCAGCCTCACGCGCAAAGCCGCCACGTCCTGCGAAAAACCAAAAAACGGAAGTACGAGAGCTTGCTGCACCCTTGGGAAAAAGGTAAAGGCTGCTGGACCTCCAGGAAAGTTTCAGGAAAGTTCATGGGCACCTTCTTCTAGAGAAGCGGTTTGCCGCCTGGAAGGCTAACTCAACACTCCAGAATCTCTAGAAGGCTTCTTTTGTAGCAGAAACTTCTCGAAAAATGGGGACCCCTTTCGGATTCAATTGTTGATTGCTGTTCAACGCTTTGCATTCTCCGTCTAAAGGCGCACCCTAATCGGCTCCCAACAAACACCTCTCAGCACGCAGTCTTCAAACCAGTTCCCAAATCAAGAAACTTCAGCCACCAGCTGGATATACTACTCACTTACCAAGTAGTTCCTATGGGACAGCTTCTCCCATTCGCCTTGAACCAGTGATCTTAGGAACGATTCATTTGGGGCGACCGTGTGGCATTTTGCAACAAGTACATGGTGGTGGAGGTATTCTCTGTGTGTCTACTTCTTTGGCCGTGGGCACGTCACCCGCCAAACACATGCCGGGGCGTGGGGCCGCTTTTGGAATCAAAACACATCTGAACTGATGACGGCACTCAAAGGAAGGGGCCTGCAAAAACTCAAATATCCATCCGTTTTCGACGTTGAACACTTGTGTGCTTTGTAGTGCAATGGAGAAAAACATATTGTGCTAGGGGTGAGGTGCGCCGATTTCGCAGAAAAGAGCGTCCTCTCGCAGCTTGGCGTTGGCAGCTTCCAGGACCTTTCGCATCGAGCGTTGATTTGCGTGATGACCCATTCTCATGGAAAGAGGGATCTTCAAGACCCTAGCTGAGCTCCTTGCTTCCCAGCGCTAGTTTTAGTTTTTACCGCCTTCCAGAGAAGTCAAGGCATGGCTGTGAGGTTCAAAGCGCATGCATAAAGCCAATCGTCAAACACAGAGCAAGTCCACCAACCTGTTCCGTCAATCAATAAAACCTGCCCAAACGCCGCCCGACCTCCTGACGTTGGCGAGCTTCCTGCAGCTCTGCTTTGGCTTGCAGCAACTGCTCGTGCGTCACCTCCTGCAACTGGAATGCAGCAAGGTTGCGCACTTCCGATCGAGTGGACTGGCCAAAATGAGTCTGAACTGTTCACTTATCACTGAGATGGTCCAAGCAGGTCCAGGAACTTAGGGAGTAAGCATAACGTTCCTGGTCAAATGTCATGTCAGGCTACGCAGAATTCGCCCATCTTTTGCATGTCCAGCCCTCAAGCTCTCCAAAAGCCTGAGTTTCATCCCAAATAGTCTGCAGCAACTCCCCACCCCCAAGCCTTCAGCTTCCCCCAAATGGTTTCCCACGTCAAAAGCCAGGGGCTAAAACACCCCCAGCTTCCTGAAACCTTAGCGGTGGCACCCAAAAAAGAACCAGAGGTTTTCAAAGCCGTCCGGCCTGCACCTGGCCCTTGGCCATGCGTAGCAGGCTCTCCTTCTGCGCCGCCGCACCCCGCCTGGACCGGGCCACCTGGCGCAAAGAAGAAATGAGCGCTTTTGGTGTGGGCCTTTTTTTTTCTCTTCTCGCATCAAGTTTAACATGTTTTTCCCCAAACAGTTTACTGTGAGGGGTTCTAAATTCATTTAAGGTGGCTCGCCTGTTGCCAAGCCCTAGCCTGGATGCCTGGCACGGCTCTCCAGGCGGACAGATTCACTTGTCTCCCTTTGTCTCCCTTCATTTGTCTCCCGTTGTCTCCCAGCCTGGATGCCTGGCACGGCTCTCCAGGCGGACAGATTCACTTGTCTCCCTTTGTCTCCCTTCATTTGTCTCCCGTTGTCTCCCAGCCTGGATGCCTGGCACGGCTCTCCAGGCGGACAGATTCACTTGTCTCCCTTTGTCTCCCTTCATTTGTCTCCCGTTGTCTCCCAGCCTGGATGCCTGGCACGGCTCTCCAGGCGGACAGATTCACTTGTTTCCCTTTGTCTCCCTTCATTTGTCTCCCGTTGTCTCCCAGCCTGGATGCCTGGCACGGCTCTCCAGGCGGACAGATTCACTTGTCTCCCTTTGTCTCCCTTCATTTGTCTCCCGTTGTCTCCCAGCCTGGATGCCTGGCACGGCTCTCCAGGCGGACAGATTCACTTGTCTCCCTTTGTCTCCCTTCATTTGTCTCCCGTTGTCTCCCAGCCTGGATGCCTGGCACGGCTCTCTGGGCGGACGATTCACTTGTCTCCCTTTGTCTCCCTTCATTTGTCTCCCGTTGTCTCCCAGCCTGGATGCCTGGGCTCTCCAGCGGACGATTCACTTGTCTCCCTTTGTCTCCCTTCATTTGTCTCCCGTTGTCTGGGCTTTGTTTCATTTTGTCTCCCGTCTCCGTCTCTCCCTCATTTGGTCACCCAGCCTTGCTGGCACGGCTCTCCAGGCGACAGATTCACTTGTCTCCCTTTGTCTCCCTTCATTTGTCTCCCGTTGTCTGGTGCCTCTCCCTGGGGGACAGATTCACTTGTCTCCCTTTGTCTCCCTTCATTTGTCTCCCGTTGTCTCCCAGCCTGGATGCCTGGCACGGCTCTCCAGGCGGACAGATTCACTTGTCTTTCTTTGTCTCCCTTCATTTGTCTCCCGTTGTCTCCCAGCCTGGATGCCTGGCACGGCTCTCCAGGCGGACAGGTTCACTTGTCTCCCTTTGTCTCCCTTCATTTGTCTCCCGTTGTCTCCCAGCCTGGATGCCTGGCACGGCTCTCCAGGCGGACAGATTCACTTGTCTCCCTTTGTCTCCCTTCATTTGTCTCCCGTTGTCTCCCAGCCTGGATGCCTGGCACGGCTCTCCAGGCGGACAGATTCACTTGTCTCCCTTTGTCTCCCTTCATTTGTCTCCCGTTGTCTCCCAGCCTGGATGCCTGGCACGGCTCTCCAGGCGGACAGATTCACTTGTCTCCTTTGTCTCCCTTCATTTGTCTCCCGTTGTCTCCCAGCCGGGATGCCTGGCACGGCTCTCCAGGTGGACAGATTCACTTGTCTCCCTTTGTCTCCCTTCATTTGTCTCCCGTTGTCTGCCAGCCTGGATGCCTGGCACGGCTCTCCAGGCGGACCCGTTGTCTCCCGGACAGATTCACTTGTCTCTGCCTGACACGGCTCTCCAGGCGCACAGTTCACTTGTCTCCCTTTGTCCGTTGTGTCCCAGCCTGGGTGTCTGGCACGGCTCTCTGAGTGGACGGGTTCATTTGTTTCCCGTTGTCTCCCAGCCTGGATGCCTGGCACGGCTCTCCAAGCGGACAGATTCACTTGTCTCCCTTTGGCACGGCTCTCCAGGCGGACAGGTTCACTTGTCTCCCTCTGTCTCCCTTCATTCGTCTCCCGTTGTCTCCCAGCCTGGGTGTCTGGCAGCTCTGTGGGTGGACGGGTTCATTTGTCTCCCGTTGTCTCCCTGCCCAGCCTGGATGCCTGGCACGACTGTCTCCCAGCCTGGATGCCCAGCCTGGATGCCTGGCACGGCTCTCCAAGCGGACAGATTCACTTGTCTCCCTTCATTTGTCTCCCGTTGTCTCCCAGCCTGGGTGTCTGGCAGCTCTCTGGGTGCACGGGTTCATTTGTCTCCCGGCTCTCCAAGCGGACAGATTCACTTGTCTCCCTTGATTTGTCTCAGCCTGGATGCCTGGCACGGCTCTCCAGGCGGCCCTTCATTTGTCTCCCGTTGTCTTCCAACCTGGATGTCTGGCACGGCTCTGCCGGTAGATGGATTCATTTGTTTCCCGTTGTCTCCCAGCCTGGATGTCTGGCACGGCTCTCCAAGCGGACGGACTTACTTGTCTCCCTTTGTCTCCCTTCATTTGTCTCCCGTTCTCCCCCAGTTGTTCTTTGTTTTCCTTGTAGTTCTTTTCTGTTTCATGTGGTCTCTCAGCCTGGGTGTTTGGCTTTGTGGCTATGGCCGCTTCGCTCGCCTCTTTGTTTTCGATCGTTTGTCCTACATTGTCGCGCAGCCTTGGTTTGACTGAGGGGGTGGCTTGTTGGTAAACATGATCTTCTGAGGTTTGCTTTATTTTGCTTTGATTGAAGACCGCAGCGTGATGTAGGTGCTGGGTCGGCTCGCCCAACTTGCTTGTGTGGTTAGCTCAACAAAAGCTCACGAGACGTCACAGTTGCAGGCTTGAACAGTGTTTTGTTTTTACAAGGGCGGATGAAATGCGGTGGGGTCTAGTCTGGCAGTGCTCTATTTCTCTTTCTTTCTCACACGCGCGCATTTGCGCAAAAGCCATAGCGATGGTGAGTTGCACATAGAGCCGTGCTTGACAGTCCATGGATGTGTGCGCTGCGGCTGCCTGATTTGCCAACATACATCCTCAACTTGGAGCGGCAGGCAGACCGACTTCGCAGTGCAAAGAAGTTGTGCAAGTTTGTGGGCCTTAGAAATGTTCGCAGGGTCAAGGCTGTGGATGGCAGCAAACTTTTGCAGCAAGGAGGGCGCGTCAAAAAAGTGACGAAGCAGACGTGGCGTTTGAGTTACGACGAGAAGGAGGAGCGAGTTGTTCGTTGGTTTCGGCCTGGCCGGCTGGCTGATGCTGGCGCACTGGACATCTTTGCTCAGCATGCTTGTTCCAGATCGCACGCTAGCGTGCTGCAGCACGTGCGGAAACAGCTGCAACATTCCGCAGCTGTGTTGGTATTGGAAGATGACGTTGCACTTGGCACGGCGTTCACTGCCAAAAGTTTTGCGAGGAGCTTGCAGAGGATTTGGAAAGCTTTGGCAAACAAATATAAGCAATGGGCGGTGTTGCAGTTGGGCGCCCAGCCGATTCTTTCCTTCGGTGGAAAGAACTCAGCTGTTCGAGGTGTCCCGGGAATTTGCCATGCTGGGCATGCTATGCAAATGCATGCTTTACTGTGGAGGAAAGCTTCTGACACGGACGCCATCTTGGAAGACCTTATTTCACGCATGTATGTCTGAATTGGACACGTGCTTGTGCTCCAAGTGAGCACATATGTGTGTTCCACGTGTACACACATGTGTGTTTGCACACGTGTTTGTGTTTCAGGTGAACACATATGTGTGTTCCAGTCGTATACATATGTGTGTTCCACGTGTACACACACGTGTGCTTTAATTGCACGTGTTTGTATTCCAGGTGAACACGTATGTGTGTGCCACGTGTACACACATGTGTGTTGAAATTGGACACGTGTTTGTGTTCCAAGTGAACACGTATGTGTGTTCCACGTGAACACATTAGCGTGTCGTAGGTGAACACATATGTGTGTTCAAGGTGTACACATGTGTGTGCCTTCCAAGAAGCACATGTTTGTTTTCCAGTTGAACCTACCGCATAAGTTTGTTCCACGTGAGCGCATGTTTGTGTTCCAGGTGAAAGCATGCGATTGTTCTGATAAAGCACATATGTGTGGCCCAGGCGTGCAGAAAATGTAACTTCCATGTGAAAACATGTTTGTTGTGCAGGTGAACGCATATGCGTTGCACATTTGTGTTGCACACATGTTTCTCCACATATGCACATGCGTGTGTTCCACGTGTACACATATGTGTGTTACAAGTCAACACATAAGTTTATTCTGGTTAAACATGTTTGTGTGATCCTGGTCTGCATCTGTGTTGCAGGTGAACACATATGTCTGTTCCAAGTGAGCACATATATGTGTTCCAGGTGGCCTTATATGTGTGTTCCAGGTGAACGGGGTGAGCACGTATATGTGTTCCCAGAAAACACATGTTTTTTTCGAGGTGCACACATGTGTGTGTGTGTGCTTCAGGTGAGCATATATGTGTGTTCACGTGTGCACATATGTGTTTTATTCCACGTGAACATACATGTGTGCTTTAATTGCACACGTGTTTGTGTTCCAGGTGAACACATATGTGTGTTCCAGTCGTATACGTATGTGTGTTTCACGTGTACACACAGGTGTGCTTTAATTGCACGACTTTGTATTCTAGGTGAACACGTATGTGTGTTCCACGTGTACACACATGTGTGTCTGAATTGGACACGTGTTTGTGCTCGAGGTGAACACATATGTGTGTCCCACGTGAACACATTAGCGTGTCGTAGGTGAACACATATGTGTGTTCAAGGTGTACACATGTGTGTGCCTTCCAAGAAAACATGTTTGTTTTTGTGTTGAACACATATGTGTGTGTGCCGCAGATGAACGTATATGTGTGTTCACGTGTGCACATCTACGTGTGCCGCGTATACACATATATGTGTGTTGGAGGTGAACACGCACAGTATGTATGTTCCAGCTGAACACACACGTGTGTTCCAGTTTTGCACATATGTGTGTTCGACGTGTACACACATGCGTGTTTTAAATTTCACACGTGTTTGTGTTCCATGTGTACACATATGTGTGTTGCAGGTGAACACATGTGAAGATATGTTCTGTTGTGTGTGGTTGTTTGTGAGAACGTATGCGCGTTGACATGTTCCAGGAACACTTGTGTTTTGGCAGTACACATGTGTGTTTTGCAGGCATGTGTGTGCCAGATTTAAGCTTCTCCAGCACATAGGAGGTTGGCTTCTTTC